AAAGTAGTCTTATACGCCAGAAAATAAGATAATTTGTTTGTTGTTTGCATAAATATGAGAGCAGACCTGCTTACCAGCAGGCAGCCAAAATAACACAGGAAACCTTAGCAGAAATGTGTGAAAGTGATGGCCATCATTCCCTTTTTGAGCCTACAATCTATACAGGTTGAGTCTCCCTTGTCCAGAATTCCTAAACACTCCAAAATCCAAAACTTTTTTTTCATGGGTGGCTGAGATAGTGACATCTTTGCTTTCTGAAGGTTCAGGGTACACAAACTTTTTCATGCACAGTCATTTCATGCACAAGAGTATTAAATATATTGTTTATAAAATCACTTTCAGACTATGTGTATCTGAAACATAAATGAATTTCGTGTTTAGACTTGGGTTCCACTTCCAAGATATGTTATGTATGTATGTGAAAATATTCCAAAATACTCCAAATCCCAAACACTTTTGGTCCCAAGCATTTCAGGTAAGGGAGACTCAACCTGTACTATCTCTGAAGAGTGTTGTGAGGTGACCTTGCGCAAGTCCCATTCTTTTAGCCTCAGAGGAAGGCAGAGGCAAACCTCTGAGCAAACCTTGCCAAGAAACCCCCATGACAAGGGTCGCCTTTGTTGCTGTGTGCCTTCCAAGTCATTTCCCAACTCATGGCGACCCTAAGGTGAGCCCTATCATGGAGTTTTCTTGGCAAGATTTGTTCAGAGAAGGTTTGCCATTGCCTTCCCCTGAAGATGAGAGAGTGTGACTTGCTCAAGGTCCCCCAGTGGGTTTTCATGGCTGAGCTGGGAATCGAACCCTGGTCTCTAGAGTCCTAGTCCAATGTTCAAACCACTACATCATGCTTGCTCTCTGCTATTTTATGTAAGGGACACCAATTTATTATGCCATTGTATATAATGGATCTTAAGCATCCATGGATTTTGGTATCCATGGGAGCATCCTGGAACAAATTCCCAGCAGATACCAAGGGCCCACTAGTTTTTTCTAGTGGTTCCTTTCTTCTCATGATATACCCAAAATATGACAACCTCACTTTAGTCTGTAGAACCGTAGTCTAACACTCAAATTACACCATGCTCAGGGGTCACCATAGGGTTGCCATGTCAGAAATGACTTGAAGGCACACAATGATAACAACAAACTAAGTATTATTGTCTTTTCCAATGAATCATGCCATCTCATGATGTGTGCAAAATATAACACCCTCATTTTAGTCATCTTCATTGCTGAATGTCAGTTGCTGAATGGTGAGTCAACACATGTAGTCATAGAAGCTCCAGGAAAATTTTGAAGCTCTTAACCCAGTGACATTTGCTGGGATCCAGATGAAAATCAATATGGAAAGGAAGAGGAAGGTTTTGATAGGATGGTTGAGAAATGGAGTTTTCAAAAATCCATAGCTTTCTTTCTTTCCCAAGATCAAATGTTGTTGTTTGCCTTCAAGTCATTTCCAACTTAGGGAGACCCTAAGGTGACTCTATCATGGGATTTTCTTGGCAAGATTTCTTCAAGAAGGGATTTGTCTTTGCCTTCCTCTGAGGCCGAGAGAGTGTGACTTGGCCAAGGTCACCCAGGGGGTTTCATGGCCGAGCAGAGATTTGAATCCTGGTCTCCAGAATAGTAGTCCAACTGGAGAAGTAAAATCGTAGATTACATTTTCAGCTTCATTTTGGTAAGGTTCCCAGTACTAGCACTGTTTTTAATTGCCATTTAAGTTTAAATCCACTCTTAATGATTACATTTACTCCCTTCCAAAGTAAATGTAATTGAATTTAATTATTTAACTTATCAAGAATTAACTAATCACACAAACTCTTTAAATTTTCCTGTCTCTGAATGCCAGTACATTTCAAGATCAAATACTTGGCAACTGAGCTAAATCCAGTTGCTAATCCTAGCTACAGTGGAGCCATTAAATCAACATGAGATTGTTAAGCAAAACACTTGCGCACTAATTCAGGAAGTTTCTTCTGGTAGGGACTAGCTGTTCAATGTAGGGCACTGTGTTTTCTTAAAATTTGCTAATTTGTTTTCTGCTACTAGTGGCATATTTTGAGCATTTGATTTATTAGAGTGAATTCCTAGACTCAAAGGGAAATTCTCTTTGCTACTAGAGATTGTTTTTGTACACTTGGTTTATTTATTTATTTATTATCGTTTATTATTGACAAAACTATCTCAGCATTCCTTGCCTAAGAAAGTCCTTTGAGATTCATGGGGTCGCTACAGGCAGACGGTTAACTTGATGGCAAATACATGTTCCTTTACACTCACTTATGCTGAACCTCATTTGCCATTTTATTTTTTAAAATGTGCATGCTATTTCTCTTAGGATCCTATTGTTTCATTCATTTTTAAAAGCCTGATCCCCCACACTGGGTGCATCAGTTAAACGGAGTTGAGAAGAAAAAGAATATTGTTCTTTTGTCTTGTCATCCTAAAGAAACCACTTAATTTTTGTTCTTTCGCTATTGTGAGAAGGGTGCAAAACTGTCACACTGATAGCATTGGTGTCCCTTTCCCCCGCCTGAGATGTCAGGAAAAGATCCACTGCATAATTCATGGGATATTCTGTGTAGGAGTTCGATAAGAGGGTGATTTAGGGTAGGTCTGCTTTTTTTCTCCTTGGTTTGGTTCATGTTCTGTTCTAGGACATTTACATGAACAATTTGTTTTACTTTTCATATATATCCCACATTTCTCCTGGGTTAAGATGCAAGGCAAATAAGCAAAATTTTGATAATCAGTCTTCATATTTATCTGTGCATTGAGAAATCCAGTTTGTGTAACTGTCAGAGTGTGGGGCTGAGACTTGCGAAATCTAGGTTCAAATCTGTTGCACTCTGACACATGAAACTCACTGACTTTGGGCCAGTCACTCTCATCCCAACCTACCTCACAAGGATGTTGTGAGATAAGGGGGAAAGGTAGGAGAGGTATGTGTCTGTATTATGTATTGCCTTCAAATTGCCTATTGACTTATGGCAGCCCCCCATGATTTTCATAGTGTTTTTTAGGCAAGGAAAGGTGGCTTTGCCAGTTCCTTCCTCTGAAATATAGCCTACAGCATCTGGAATTCATTGGTTGTCTCCCATCCAACCACTAACCATAACTGGCCCTGCTTAGTTTCCAAGATCAGATGGGATCTGATGCCTTTAGGGTATTTACTCCGCTCTGGATTTCTATGTACAGTCCCTTATGTTGAAACAAGATATAAAAATAATAAAAAGTGGGATATAATGGTAATAAATAAATAAATTTAGATTTCTTTCATGCTACATAACACCTTAACTGGCCCTGTCCTATAGAAACCTAGAATTTGTAGTTCTGCAGGGTTTTGCACTTTGTCAGAGGTCTAATGAAGTAGTTTTCAATCGTTGCTCCTCCAGATGTTTGGATTTCAGCTCCCACAATCCATTATTATTGGCCATGCTGGTAAAGGCTTCTGGGAACTGAAATATAAAACTGTTGGAGGATTAAAGGTTGAGAACTGCTTCCTCGAGCATCTTGCCCCAGACTACAAACTCAAGGATTTCATAGGGTGCAGCCAGAACGGTTAAAGTGATACCAAAGATCTGCAATTTTTTTGGTAAGAGACTTTAAATGTTTGTGTATGAGCAAGAGCTGTTAACATTCAGCTATTGTCACATTAATATGAGCAAAATGTAATTATTTGGTAGGTGAATCAGCAAAATCTATTGTTGTTGATACCTCGTGGGAGACACATTTTAATTGTCTTGGAGCATAATAAGAAAAACATGAACAAGGAATAGCAGTTAATGTGAACTGTCAAAGCCTCGACAGAAAAGGGCCTTTTTTCTTTTTGGTTTCCTGCTCCCCCTCCTGTACATCTCTGAAAAGCAAATCAGGAAGTAAAATGTTGACATTTTCAAAGCTGTCAGTCCAAAAAAATTTAAAAATAAATAATACATTTTTTTTTAAGTGAAAGACAATGCATCAGGAGTGGGAAATGTGCAGCTTTCCTAGGACCTTATCACACGGGGTCTAAAGCAGAGCTAATCCAAAG